TTGTAATAAGGGGAAAAGATCTCACTAGATAAACGTGTTTTTGTACGGACAGTATTTATTTAAAATACGATAGAAGGGTGCACAGTTGCTACAGAATAACATTACGTAATTCCACATTTAGTTCACACTGACGAAATTTACAGTCTCAGTTCCTTAACAGTTTATTTGTTGGTTGGTTTTTGAATTATCATTAGCATCTGTGAAAGAAATGCACTAACTATATGACTTATAGATGGTATGACGAAAATAAATCAGCCAGTGGCATATAATACAAATTTTACTTGTTTATAAGTACATCTTACCTATGACTATGTGACAAAGTTATACTGGTACATCGTTGATCAGGTACTCGAACATTTGGCTGCTTTTTCTTGTTTGTTTTGAATTTCGCGCAAAGCTACACGAGGGCTATCTACGCTAACCGTCCCTAATTTAGCAGTGTAAGACTAGAGGGAAGGCAGCTAGTCATCACCACCCACCGACAACTCTTGGACTACTCTTTTACCCAATGACCTTCACGTTATAACGCCCACACGGCTGAAAGGGCGAGCATGTTTGGTGTGACGGGGATTCGAACCCGCGTTCCTCAGTTTATGAGTCGAGCGCACTAACCACCTGGCCATGCCGGGCCTAACAGTTTATTTTCATTGTTTTGTTTAAAAAATATTTCTTCGTTTTTCAACAGCTGCGTCTTACTTTTGAAATACACAACGGGAAATTTCAAAATACTAAACATGTTTATTGATAAACCTACATATCTGTTTGATTAGAAGGTATTCATATCAAGAGAAAATTGATTATTACTGTTGTTAGCATACGATAAAACTTTTGTATTTAAGTAAATTGACTAAGGATGAATAGGCACAAGAAAAACAACGATACTCAAATCGACCTGAAACATCTTTCTCCTCAAAGTGCCTCCTCAGTGATAAGTCAGTAGGGTTACGACGCTAAAAATCGGGTTTTGGTACACGTGGTAGACGGAGTACAGATAGCCCATTGTATAACAACTCAACCATACCAAACTGGTCAAATAATATCCAAAAATAAACAATAAATATACGTGCTTATCCCACGTGCAATCCGTCTGTCAATTTTCGATTCAATTTATTCAACCTATTGGAATCGATTTTGAGATATTATGATATAAGAGGAAAAACATTGCTGATGTTGCGAAGAAATAACATAAGAAGCTGAAAAGCTGTAAGACAAAGATATAAAACGAAGAACTGTTGACTGTTACTGTGATACTACTTTGCAGAATGAATATTTCAAATGGAACAAATAACGACGTTGTCCTCTATTCAGAATCAATCATTCTCATGTTTGTGAGAAACTTATCTATTGCATAGCATGTATTAAACGGATCAAGTTTACTATGAGCGATATAAACAGAAAAAATCGAATTGTAGACTATAGAGGTTATTGAGCAACGTTTATTTGTTTCGGATATTGGCGCAAAGCTGTACAAGGTCTATCTAAGCTGTACAAGGTCTACCTACGGAAGAAGTCCTCAATTTTGAACTGATATTGGCGCAAAGCTGTACAGGGCTATCTAAGCTGTACAAGGTCTACCTACGCAAGAAGTCCTCAATTTTGAACTGATATTGGCGCAAAGCTGTACAAGGTCTATTTAAGCTGTACAAGGTCTACCTATGCAAGAAGTCCTCAATTTTGAACTGATAAACTGGATAGAAGGCAGCTGGTCAACATTACTCCCCACAAATTCTTGAATTACTCTATTTGAATAGTGGAATGTGAATGTCACTTCTATATGGCACTCACAACCCCATAGGCGGAGAGCGATTTTGCTGTAAGGAAATGAAAATCATGGACCCTAAAATCCATAGTTTAACTTTGTAACCAATAGGCCACACTCGGCCAATTCAGCAATGGAAAAAGTTGAATTAACAAAGTTTATTTTATTGAACTCTCTTTTTTTATTATTGAATTGAAATGTAGATGAAAAATACTAGCAACAAGATGAATAACGGTCTTATATATTTAACCAATCGTTAAATTCGTAAGAATTAGTTAAGCGGCAAAAACAACAACAATAATTCAGTCCAAAATGTTGTAGATATTAGTGGCACTAAAGTAAGAAAAAACCAGACTGATGGGTTAGTAAGGCTAACAAATAAGCTGTTTTATTACTCGGATTATTTACTTTCGGTGTAGGATTAGAGCATACTAACATCATTGTATTTATTATTTTCATGAAAGGAGAGCAGAAGACAGGATGAAAGGAACTTGTATATATTTTAAATTCCAGTGAGTTTCGACTTTTTAGCTCACAGGCATTAAATATTTCACCAGGTGGATATATTTTGAAGCCACGCCCACTTGTACAATGACTTTCGGGTGCACGTCATTCTGAAACACGTGCCCTTATTTCTAAAAAAAAAAAGTCCACACCCCTCCGTCAGGCTCACGAATATAAATGTTTTTACTAATATAATGTTAATTATGGATTATTTTGATGTTTATCTGATAAAAATAATACAGTCTCCTCTTCATGCAAGATAGCTGATTTAATTTGTTAGTCTTTTCTGTGTATTTGTTATAATTCGATGCCGGAAGTTTCTTTTAAGTAGGTAATTAGGATAGGCTGATTCTAGAAAAACGTATGGGCTTACAAAAATAAAGCTCCCTCAGCATTTACCCGCGGTTGGCAAGCACACATTATATATATATATACAGTTTACGTCATTGCTCTGGATACTGTCAAGAGTTATTTGGGAGTGGAAACGTGTCTCTCCAGATCTTTATCACTCTGCAATCTCATTATACCTCAAGCTTAGACAAGATTCTAAGATACACCAAAAGTATTTCGTCGCTAACCTCTGTAGATATAGATTAGTTATAATCGTACCTCAGCTGTTTGATTTACTCAGAATAATTCATCCATCGGAAGTCATTTTCTTCATTTCTTCATTGGTTCAAGAACTTTCAATATTTCTTCAGCAAATCACATTTCACTCAAATCTGCTATTGACTAAATCGTTTCTTTTAAATCTGAGCTTTGTAGTTTGAAATACGTAATCACACAGTAAAAATGAAAAGTGTTTTTCTTTTCTAACTTCATAAAGTTACAACGCTATAAGGCTTAAATAAAATTTCGGTCATATATTAGTTGCTAAATTTTTTCACATAATTAACAAAGTATGTATCTTAAAACCTTACATTTTTGCTTACAGAATCAAACTTAATTCTAAAAAATTTTAATTTACAGAAAAGTTTCATGGTACTATGATTTGTTTTTAAATTACTAATAAATTGTTGTCCCAATTTGTTGAATTTTTGATGTTGTCATCAACTAATAATGTTTATTTAATTTTTTTAAAAACTTACAATTCTTTAAATGCACATAATTTTAAGTAAAACAGAATATATAATAGGTAAGCTGAAAGAAATTGTGAATCGTATATTTTATAAAACGTCGAATTGACTCTGACGTAGTATATATCCGTGTTATATGAAGTTTTAAGAACTCGCGATGTAAAAAGGAAAATGCAATAGGCTTGCTGTATAAAATTACTAGGCCTTAATTTGCATAAAAACTTTCAAAGTTTCTTTGAGGACAAATAACATCACAAGTAACTCAAAATTATTTTGTGTGATAATGTGGTAGTAACATATTCTGAGGTACTAAAAAGTACCTTAGTAGCAATTCTAATCCCTCCACCCTGTAGCTCAGAGGTAAGTCTGAGGGCTTATAAGAGTAAAACTTTGCCAGTAAACAACTAATGATATTATTACTTATACGTTTGGTATGTTTAAGACAAGTACCATCACTTACGTTTTTTACCTGGTATAATAATACAGTTTTGGTGATCTTTTTTCTCACAAGTATCTTCCAATTTGATACCAGCTCTTTTTTCATGGAGAAATTAATTGATATACATATACCGCCAGCTTTAATTAATTAATATAGATATCTCGCCAGCTTTAATTAATATACATATCCCACCAGCTTTAATTAATTGATATACATATCTCGCCAGCTGTAATTAATTAATATACATATCTCGTCAGCTTTAATTAATTGATATACATATCTCGCCAGCTTTAATTAATTGACAATTAATTAAAGCTGACGAGATATGTATATTAATTAATTAAAGCTGGCGAGATATGTATATTAATTAATTAAAGCTGGCGAGATATGTATAAATTAAAGCTGACGAGATATGTATATTAATTAATTACAGCTGGCGAGATATGTATATCCAACAGATGATTTTATAATATATTAAACCTGGATAAATGCAATTATATTCCCTGCAATTTCGTGTATACTTTTTGTTGTAGTTGAAAACTAACAGCAAGATGAATTTTGTTCAGTTTAATTACTTTCTGGCACACCTTTCGAAAAAATAATTTATCCTATGCCTTGACATATAAAGATCAGATTTAAGGTATAACATGATTCTATTTCGATCACATAACATAAATTGTCTTTCTCTTGCTGACATAGGCCCCCAGTGGCACAGCGGTATATCTGCGGACTTACAACGCGAGAATCCTCGTTTCGATACTCGTACTGGGCAGAGCACAGATAGCCCATTATGTTGCTTTATGTTTAATTTTGAACAAACAAACTTACTGACGTGATATGATAATTAGAATGATGTATTTTCGGTAAAAACGAAAGCTAATATTAAAATGGTAGTTATATTTCTGTTTGGTTATAAACTGAGTTTATCATGTCCGTTACACTTTTTCGATGAAAGAGAATGTTTATCAATGGTTGTGTTTTATCGAGTGAAGCCAGTAAGAAGAGTTTCCTGTGCTAGAAATAGATAGTTTTGGGTGGTTAGTTTTGCTTGACGTAGAAAAAAACAAACAACTGCAACACAAGAAGACATGCACGTTTTAAAAGTCTGCATTTTGATTCCCGTGTCTAGTTCGCGTTTCTTACATCCGCGGCAATCGCGTGAAGAACGAGAGTAAGCGTCAAAGATATCACATTGACGTTAGAGCTCGTGCTGGCCAGCAGCATCAGAATGAACGCTGCCACGGAACGAAAAACGCCTTCATTCTTATTAGGAGCCACGACTACTCAGTTCACTAGTCTTCCTGAAGTCAATATCGTGCTACTGGGAGCACTTGGAGTTGGCAAGTCAGGTTGGCATAAGAGACATTTGATTAATATAATAACGATTATATAAAAGTCATTATAAATATCAATATATATGTAAATAGCATAATTTATAATGTTGATGACAGAATTATATTCTTATGCTTATAAGTGTGATAGGCCTGGTGGCTAGGGCACTCGACTCGCAGCCTGAGAGTCGCAGCTTCGAATCCCGTCCTTGCACATATTCGCTCTTTCAGCCGTGGGGGCGTTATAATGTAAATCCTATTATTCGATTAGAGCAGCCCAAAAGTTGGCGGTGGGTGGGGTTGAATAAACCGCTTTCCCTCTAGTATTTTACTTCAAAATGATGAACGGCTAACGCAGATAGCTCTCGAGTAGTTTTGTACTAAAATCAACAAACTTAGTGTAATATTTTAACGTAACAACAGAATGATTTATAAACTGTGTAATTCAGTAAGATGTTTATCGAGATCATTAGTTAATAAGACGAGAAGAAAGATCTCTCAGAGTAAAAAAAATAGTTAATAAGACGACAAGAAAGATCGCTAAAAGTAAAGAAATTAGTTAACAAAACGACAAGAAAGATCTCTCAGAGTAAAGAAATTAGTTAACAAGACGACAAGAAATTAGTTAATAAGACGACAAGAAAGATCGTTTAAAGTAAAGAAATTAGTTAACAAAACGACAAGAAAGATCTCTCAGAGTAAAGAAATAAGTTAACAAGACGACAAGAAAGATCTCTCAGAGTAAAAAAAATAGTTAATAAGACGACAAGAAAGGTTCCTAAGATGTCCTATGAAGTATTTATTGAAGCAATTTACTCAAGAAACACAAATTTATTCAACAGAAAAAAAAAGCAAGAAAATACCACAGGAAATAGTTGTTAGGTCAAAATTCATATTTCACTTTTTAAGTTATGAAGCTATATACTCGTTGAAGATTGTGAGTGGTTATTTGAATTTTATGTGGTGAAATTAAGACCTAAATGAGTAATAATGTGTGTGTAAGGGATTTCAAAGTATGACGTACAAATATAGTGATGTTTCTTTAGGGTAGAACATGTAATAATCGTTCATAGGAGATCAGATAGAAGAGCACTTCAAGATTGCACGATTTTCGACTCAAAGGGCATGGGCATTTTTCAAGAATGCTCTTGAAGAAATATTAAAACACTTGCGAGATTTCAATCTGTTAGTTTTCCTTTGCGAACGTTTATGTTCAACTTAAGCAATTCGTCGACACTTCAAAGTACGTACTTTATTTAGTTACTCGTTTATTCACAGTCACGTTGCTAAGGTAACTAACGTCAAAGTAGTATTTTAAACATAGTTGGTATTTTTTACAGCTGAAAACCTGTGGAACCTTACGGACTTAATGTGGCTTATTGGTATCGTGCAATACCAGATCACTGTTTTATAGATTGAATAAGATTTATTGGCATTGTGCAATACCTCGTGCTTCTTTTACAGACTTCATGTAACTTACTGGTGTTGCAAAGTGCCTTATTATGACATTATGGACTTCATGTAACTTACTGGTGTTGCAAAGGGCCTTATTATGCATTAAGTACATAATGTTATAATAAGGCCCTTTGCAACACTCGTAAGTTATATGAAGTCCATAATGTCATAATAAGACATTTTGCAACACCAGTAAGTTGCATGAAGTCCATAATGTCATAATAAGGCCCTTTGCAACACTAGTAAGTTACATGAAGTCCATAATGTTAACTTACTAGTGTTGCAAAGGGCCTTATTATGACATTATGGACTTCATGTAACTTACTAGTATCGTTTAGTGCCTGAATACCACTTTGAGGACTTAATGTGGCTCATTGACATTGTAAGGATACTGACTACCACTTTACTGACTTCATGTGACTTACTAGCATCATGTAGTGTCTAATTACGACTTTACGAACTTCTTTTGGTTTACTGTCATTGTGCAGTGCTTATTTAGCGTTTTACGGATTTAATGCAGTTTATTGGCGTTATATAGTACCTGTACTCAATGTGGTGTGGTAATCTTAGGTTCAGTGAGTTACCTTAGAGTAAATTGGAAGGATCTGCAAAACCAGGATATCCATTGAATACTATATCATGGAGCATAGGCCTGATTTTCACTGACTTTTAACTGTGTCTCACTCAAAAGAGACTAAACACAAAACTGTACAAACCAGAGCTAAATTTAAAGAGGCAAGAGTTTAAAGTGCTTCAAAAGTGAGGTGGAAAAGACCTTCATCAAGTCTCACTCAGTAGTTCTGTCCTAAAGTTACGTTTCAAGCTAGAAATGAAGACAACTGTAAACAGAAATAAAAGCTTTAAGAACTGATTTAAAGCTAATATCTATCTGACATCAAAATCCACAATGCTGAACTGAATCCAATTCTGTATCAAATCTCCCTTAAACAAAACACTGTCTAGAACAGAGAAACATAGTAATATATACAACACTCACTTTTTCTAGGGACATACAGTCCACGTGACTAAGGGCCACTCTCAAGTCAACAAGCCCTTAGGACACCACCCTGCTTATCACGAGAAACGATCACTGTTGCTAAATTTAGCATATTTTCTGCTACAGTAATCCTTTCTAATGGAGAATACGCGTGACGTTTTTGACGGTTCGCAGAGAGAAACTTAGTGGCTCTCTTGACCGATGTTCTATATTGAAACCAGCACAAAGCACGTTTGCCCTTACCCCAGTATAAAGACTTACCTAACTGTACAAACAAGTAAAACAAGAAAACCAACTTTACAACAAATACAAGACAATTTAAACACAATAAAGATAAAAACCCTTTGATAATAATAAACTAACCCTTTCCGGAGGGAGCGCTAACAGCAATTCATACAATACAAAATAAACCGTTTAACGAAGATAAGTAAACTAAACACATTGATAAACACACTGAAACAAACAAAATATTTTAACATTGGATCAAAAGCAGAAATGGTTCCCTGAACAGAATTAAACATACAATACAAAAATAAAATCCTTCAATTCTACAACAAAGAACAAAATAAGTAATTTCACATCAAATGAAAAATACAACAAAAATCAGCCCGTTTTCAAAACTGGTATTAAAAATATAAGATACAAAAAACTCTTCAATTGTTAGCATTATTAATCAAACTTATAATATTCTATCAGACCCTTTTGCAAAATAGAAAAACAAACACTTCAATATTACAATACATAATGAAATAATTAATGCCACATCAAATGAAAAAACACAGCAAAAGAAAATTTCTAAACTTACATTAAAATACAAGATACAAAGTAAACTATTCAATTCTTAGCACTAATAAACACACTAGATACAAAGCTGTACTTATACGAGATAAAGCAAACATATGACTGAAATATGACATTTTATAGACGTATATATATATATATTCCTTTTACTTGTTTTCAATTAACGACAATGTGACTAGTAAGTACTAGTTTCATCACTTCTGTAGTCTGGTTTGACTTCAAGAACGTTACCACTATTCATCACTTCTGTAGTCTGGTTTGACTTCAAGGACGTTAGCACCATTCATAACTTCTGTAGTCTGGTTGGACTTCCAGGACGTTACCACTATTCATCACTTCTGTAGTCTGGTTTGACTTCAAGGACGTTACCACTATTCATCACTTCTGTAGTCTGGTTTGACTTCAAGGACGTTACCACTATTCATCACTTCTGTAGTCTGGTTTGACTTCAAGGACGTTACCACCATTCATCACTTCTGTAGTCTGGTTTGATTTCAAAGACGTTACCACCATTCATCACTTCTGTAGTCTGGTTTGACTTCAAGGACGTTACCACCATTCATCACTTCTGTAGTCCGGTTTGACTTCAAGGACGTTACCACCATTCATCACTTCTGTAGTCTGCTTTGACTTCAAGGACGTTACCACCATTCATCACTTCTGTAGTCTGCTTTAACTTCAATAAAGAGGTTGAAAATCATCTTCACACAATCACCTCTATATCTTAGTTCTTGGATTACAGAAAAAGCTTCCTTTGTAGAGGTGTCCACTGGCTCGAGATTCCACCCCACTGCATTCCCTATAGCTATAGTTCACGCTGGTTTTATTTTCATTTTGCTTGGGTAAGATATAGCTTTCCATTTGTGTGCAGGAAACGGGTTTTGCGAGTAGGAGAACATCGGACAGGATTGAAAATGCAGGATCAAACGAATTCTGATTGATCAGAAAACTTGGTCAAAGTGTGGGTTAAAGTTGTACTCTTACACTGATTCTCTGTTCAAAAACATCTTTTAGGAGCAGAGTGTCAAAATTATTGCTTTGGTCAAGCAACATTTATACAGGCTTACATGTAATATTGCTTATAGAACATGTATCCCAACTACCTGTGGACAGCTCAGTCCACACAGTCATTCTTGATTCTCTTTGCTTGGTAAGTGGCACCACATGGCTACGACTTAGTTTGTTTTTCTTTGCTTTGTAAGTGGTGTCTAATGACTATGACTTAGTTTGTTTTTATTTGCTTTGTAAGTGGTGTCTAATGACTATGACTTAGTTTGTTTTTATTTGCTTTGTAAGTGGTGTCTATTGGCTGTGACTTAGTTTGTTTCTGTTTGCTTGGTAAGTGGTGCTTAATGTATATGACTTACTTTGTTTTTCTTTGCTAGGTAGATGGCGCCTGATGATCAGACAATTTGATTTATGGCATGTCAAAAGACTTTTAAACTCAAAATGTGCGTTTCTTCATCTTATTTTATAAAATATAAAAGTGTTAAATTGCTGTTGATGATGCAAGTTCATTCATTAAGCCTACAATTCTCTTAAGACTTATTTTAAACTGCTTTTATTTCATGTAAGGATTGGATAATTTTATGGTTTGTTTGTTGAATTTCACACTATGCTACTCTAGGGCTATCTTCTCTAGCAGTCCCTAACTTAGAAGTGAAAAACTAGACGGAAAGCAGCTATTCAACAACACCTGCCGCCAGTTTCTGGGCGACTCTAATCGAATAGCGAGATTGACTATCACTTTATAATACCATCATAG